GTCTTCAGCACTCGTTTGTTCGGAGCTGATAATCCCATTCAAAAAAGCCTGAGAACTAAGGAACGAAAGTGATGCGCATGTCTCTCTGTCACTGACAGGCTCGTTAACGTCGTCAAGGTAACCGTGCTTCAAAGAGATTTTACCTCCACCACTTTAAACAGCACATTTTAATCTAATGGAGGGAGACAACACTGATTTAACATTAGGAAGTGGATACAATATGACTACTGGCCATGACCCTTCCCTTCACACGCAACCCTGATAGACTTTCAAAATAAGACTCCGGGGACCCTTCAAAATAAAAGCTCCTACATTAAACTCATATTTTTTTCCAGCATATGGCTCAACATTATGACCCAAACTCAACCACTTTTTTAAAAATGAGACTCTAGGGGTTTTTCAAAACACACCCCACAGCAAATTTCAAAATAAAAGCCTCCCATTACCACTTCATCTACTGCCCTAATAACAGGGGAAAGAGTGATTTAATGATTGGAAAGTCATCAAGTGTCACTGCTGGGTCTGACCCTTTTCCTCAACACACAGCCATGCTAGACTTTCAAAATAAGACTCCAGTTACCCTACAAAATAAAAGCCTCTATATTATACTTGTGTATTAATTGATGCAAATGGCTCAGCATTATGACCCAAACTCTACCAGCTTGTTTCTATTAGACTCTAGGGACCTTTTCAAAACATACCCCAGAGCGAATTTCACAATAAAAGTCTCCCATTTATGCTCTAACACAGCATCTATTCACCCAATAACATGGAAAACAAGTGATTGCATATTTAGAAATGGATTCTATATCACTGCCTGGCATGACCCTTCCCTTGACACACATCCATGATAGACTTTCAAAATAAGACTAAAGGGACTCTACAAAATAAAAGCCTCTTTCTTACATACACTCATTCATTGTGCCATATGGCTTGTAGCTATGACCCAAACTCAACCAATTTCTTCAAATTACACTACCAAGGCCTGTTGACCCCACACCTAAGTGCATATTTCTTAATCAGGTTCTAAGATTTACACTGTAATAAAGCATCTGCTAACCTTGTAACATGCAGCCTAAGCCTGCCAACGGTGCTGTCATCAACACAGTGGCTCATAACATGCAGGTTAGATTTTTTGATAAATTCAGCTCCTTAAATTTTATTAGCTCTCTTTTTATAAGCTTCTCTCTCTGTCCTTCCTGTGCTTCTTATGGTCAGTCTTGTACTTTGGTTTGTGGATTTTCAAGCTTCTAAGGATGACACTGTTTTCTCTATGCTGATCAACTGACACATTTTAATTAATTTCAATTTTTTTTTACAAGTCTTGACATTTCCACATATGATTTCAGACTTTAATACTTATTATACATATTCAACATTTATCTTCCTATCCTTAAGCTACTCATTTTTTTCTTCAACTAGTTAAGATTCAACTTTTTTACTGTTTATGTTACCGTTTTTGCTATTTTATAAAATTTCTGCATATTTTTTCCAATTTTGGCTTGATTCTGCTCTCTTTCTGGAAAGGCATTAAGCTTTTCTGCTTGCTGTTAATTCATAACATGTCTGCCATGTTTCTGCTGTTGGCTTCAGCTACTTTTAAGAAACTAATTAGACATTTTTTGCTATTCCATACCATTTCAGCAGCTTTGACTTTAAATTTCAGCTTGTTTCTGCCATTTAAACCTTACAGCTTACAGTTTAGCGTACAGCATTCACACTGCATTTTCGCAGGAAATGCAACTTTTTCTAGTTATAATAATCGTCAACTAATTTAGTACTCGATTAATCGTTAAATGGAGAATAGAGACTCTAAAACATGCCTTTAGCTGACAGAGCGACCCGCTTCCTTTCTCAAGGAACATTTTACTGTCCGATTATTAATCAATTAATAAAAAAAAAAATCTACAGATTAATCGTTTTGCAAAAATAATCGTTAGTTGCAGCCCTAATTTCTTCTTAACCTTGTTTTTATGTACAACACTTTGGTTACGCCTCCTCTTTTTATATGTTCTATAGAGATAAAGTTGATCTATCTATTCCTTATTCATCACACACATGCGCAATATTGTACCTCTGATCGGGCATTGTTACTATAAATATATAAAAAGGCCTTTGTTTACTGACAAATCGAGCCAAAACTAAATGTAAAACACAGTAATAATGAATAATACCACAGCAGGATGCTGTAAGCTTTCGGAAATAAAATTCTGCACTTGAGGGAAATAATGTGACTATGCACCTTTAAAACTAACTTTAACCAGTCAAAACATTATTTATTAATGGCCTATATGTAAAAAGATCAGCATGGAAAATGAAAATAGTTTGTTTTCTAATCCATCCTTGTGTGAGTTTAGAGCTGGAGCGTGACGGTTTCTGCCAGAATCCCTTTTTCGAATGCCTCGTTGCAGAAGTTACTGAGGAGCATAAATCCAAAGAAGGTAAATCAGGATCTAAGGTCCTAAAGATTGTTTTTTTTCTGTTTTGGTAATAATATAACAAAGTTTATGTTCTGTTGCTAGGCTGTACAGTGGTTGGATACGCGCTGTACTTTTACACCTACAGTACATGGAGAGGACGATCGGTGTTTCTGGAAGATCTGTACGTCATGCCAGAATTCAGAGGTATAAAATGTTTCAGTGAACTCACAGAGTGTTAAAGATAACTTTTTCACATAAGGTCTTCAGTATGTAGTTTTCTTCTTTAAAAATTCACCTTTTGATATAATTTTTTTTCTTTCTGTGATAGGCAACGGCATTGGGAAAGGATTATTGTGCAAAGTTGCTGAGGTCTGTTTTATTTCCTGACTCACCTCTGATTCATACAGATTAGTTTTGCTGCTTAATCTGCTCGAGAGAGGAGCCAGCTGTTGCAATTAGATTCATGGCATGATTAATTTGTTGAGTTTTGTGTTTAACCAGGTGGGAAGAAAGAAGGATTGTGTGCGGCTGCAGCTGTCGGTGCTCGACTGGAACACTCCCTCTAGAGACTTCTACGCTGCTAAAGGAGCTCAGGATCTGACTGTCAGCGAAGGCTGGCACTTCATTCGCTTTGATGGACAGAACCTGGAAAATTTAGCAAACGAAGCTCCTAAAGATCTATAATTAAACTACCCCATACTTTAATTTCTGAAATATAGATAAATTCAGGTAATCCACATTTGATTTATCCAGGTTTTCACCAACAGATGTTTGCAAATGCTGCTACATCAAGTGGCTAATTAAATGGCTGTTATAATTATTAATTTAAAATTTGCTGCCCAAGTGATTTTATTTTTCATTTTGCTATCCTTTTTTTATTACCTCACAGTCATAAATGTGTATATTGTTGAGGAGTATCAGAATATAATAGATAACGAGAACCCTTTATTGGCGCACAGCAAATGTGGAGTGAACTGTTATCCATTAAAGTTGCTTTAAAAATCTCTTTATAAAAAAAAAAAAAAAAAAAGGTTTTTAAAGCAACTTTGCTCAATAAAAAGTCAAACATATAGGAAGAGATGGCCAAATGGTTTGACAAAGGAATGACTGTAAATTCGCAAGCTGCACATCAGCCAATTTTTTGCATCCCAATAACGACTTTATATTAATTGCGTTCCCCTCGGGAAATAAGAGGACCTGGGAGCAGATAAAAATAAAACAATTCAACATTTGATCTGGTTAGTTGGAATTTTTAATTCAATAATATTTGGTCTACAATAAAGCTAGAAGCTAATGCCACAATTGCATCATATTAATACAATAAGTCTGATTTTTGATTTAGAACAATCCTTGATTAGTGCAGCTTTAGTCTAACATTTCCTTTTCTCATTTATGCTGTTACACTAAACAAGAAAAAAGATTCTTAGAAATACAGCTATTGACTTGCCTGCAATGCCATAAATCCTTTTTTATATGCTGTACAGGTAAGAGGCCATGCAGGAAAAACGGTTCATTCATCAACTGCATCAGGGCATTGGATACTTGACTGACAGCTCTACAGACTATATTTTTCCAGAGCTGCTTAGCATCACTGACAGCGTACATGAAACTGCCAGTTGTCTAATATCGCATAGCCATACATCCAGTCTTTGATACAGTGAAAGCCTCACTCCTGCGGGTCATACAGACAACACGTTTCTGGGATCCGGCATATATATGCCACTCCGGCCCATGGAAAACCTGTATCCCTCATATAATTGTCATTGTGATCCAAAGGATCCTCTCACAATTTGTGCACTGATTTTTATTTAATCTTTTTTAAATTTAGCTTTATATAACATTTTTACAAGAAGCAAATGTCAGAAGTGTTTAAAAACACAATTAAAAAAAACATTATACAGGAGAAAGCTAATTTAGAATAGTTAAAAGTTGGTTGTGTATGTCCAAAAGGAGGGGGGGAAAAAGACATTTTAAACTATTTGATTAGTCAAGGAAATATCTTGTTTTAACTTGCTTTTTGGTTTTCAAGTCCATCTTTTGTGATGTTTTGCTTAAGTTCTTTCCCCTTCAGAATTAAATAGTGTCTTCAATGAAACGACACTTCATTGTTTACTGAACACCTCAAAGCTAGCCTGCCCTGGACCAGGTCTGCTGTTCAGAATACGTAACCATGGTGACTATCCTCACTAAAGCCTCTTTCCCTCTGAAAATATCAGGTTAAAGCGTGTTTTTCAAACATGGGGCGACTCGCTAACAATCGCTAATTGGCTCCCTTCCCACTGGCAAATTAAGTTGGTCTAACCCCTCGCTGGCAGCTGTGTGACACCATCACGCTCTGTAAGCATTGATGATGTCAATACTGCGACAGAAATCAGAAAAGTAAACAATGGAGAGCAATATGTAAGGAAGCCAAGGAATTAGTGTGCTTTATTGTTTCACTCTATTATCTGTCTGAATCCATCTCACCAGAGCTCCTCCATGTTTATGGAATGTAAGCAGAGTTGTTTCGGCTTGTTAGTTCAGAAGCAACTGCCGCGGTGTGCCTATGTCCGAATGTTGTGTTCAATGGTATCACATAATTAAGTGGGTCAACCTGGCTCTGGTGGTTCATAGCATGCCGATCAGAACTGAGGCGATTTAAACGTGGGTAGCTTGATGAGTCGTTTGACCCAAGTAGATACATGTCAGTTAGCTCTTCCTGCTGCCACTTAAAGCCAATTGTCCCCCGGTTGAAACAGGTTTTTCAGCCTGTGGGAAAAGGGTAAAAGAATGAATCCAGCTTTATGGTACCAGAAAGTCAAGGTTAAATCTGAAGTTTTCTCGCTAACCCAGTAGTCCTGCTTCGTGATACAAGCCTCAGCTGTATCTGGGTAGTTCTCAGTTCAGTGCTTACTGGTGATCAGCTCCTTAATTCCAAGACCATGGTTCTTATTCAGGAAAAGGTGCCTTGCCTTCTTAATGTTGATGGGGGATCTCTGTCTTAGCTTGTTACATACTACACATGAATCAAGACATTTATTCCATACAGAAAAAGAATGGTAAATGGCTTGCACTTATATAACTCACTGATAAAAGCAAGGCTGCCGCACACTAGCGCCGCTGAGCCCTCTGATCACCATCAGTAGGCAATGCAGGTGAAGTGTCTTGCCCGAGGACACAATGTCACTGACAGCAATGTCGGCTTGAACCGACAACCCTCCGGTTGCAACTTTTTAAAGATATTAATCCGGCTGCATATTATTCTGAATCTTTGATTTAGAATAATATGTCTAGAAGTGATGTATAGAAATGAGTCATATTTATTTATTGAGCACACTTAACAACCAGCCCTACCAAACCTTATGTTAGTAATCCTTGCAGTGTACCGGTACATTAATGGGGATCATTACTCTGATCCGTAGCCTTCCAAGGTTTTTATCTGTTTGACTTTTTTAGGGAGATAAAATGTTACAATGGAACAGGTACAATATATGTTTTTTTAATTTGAAAAACAACTTAAAAACATTTTTTACATTAACATGATCACATATTCTTTATTCAGTTAACTTTATCGCTTCTAGTCGTATAAAAAGTACAGGATTATCAATCTTTAAGCCTGCTGATTGTTATTGAGTACAAATCATCTAAGTACAGAAAAGGAAAGTTAAGTTGCAGTAACAGTTTAAACATTAAAAATCTTGTAACGCATTGCTTGGGATAAAATATCTGATACAGTTTACAGTGAATTCCTAAAATCAATTTCCATTAATTACTCACACTGTAATTTCTTAGTGATTTAAACCTTTATGTTAGGTAAAGGAAAAGAAAGGATCTGCTGAAGTGGGTTCTCCTTGGAGGACCCTCACACATACGCGTTCCTGTTATAATTACTCGGTGCAGACTGAGACGTTGCCACAGTTGACAGAACATGTCCCCTGGAGGCTGGCTGGTATGGGTAGGATCTAAAAGAAAAAAAATACGGCTCAGCACTGGCTTTTAAAGTGCGCTACACGATGCAAGGACAGATACTCACATCTTTTCACTGGGAGAGTTCTGCTTGCAAGCACATAACAAGCAGGAACCTCCACAGATGGCAAGTACAGCAGACGACCAGCCGATGTACAGACCCTGTCCAATCTCATACCTGTAACACGATAGTTTATCTCATATTTCCTTATCTTTGGCTTATTTCAAGGTAAACTGGACATAACTGTTGTTCTGACGTGTAATGTTCTTGTTAACTTACTTTGTTCCTAAATAAAGTTCATTAAAGAACTCCTGGGTGATGTTGGCTGCATACCAAGAAACAGCAATCATGGTGCAAAGCCCTTTGGAAACACAAAAGTTTCTTTTAAGCATATTAATGATTGTTAAACACACAGACATCACACTTGTGGCATATAAATGGTTCTGGTGATTGCTGGAAAATGTTTTCATGTAAATGAAGGTACTTGATACATAATAAAAAAATGGCCTGGAATAAAAGTGGATAACAAGTTTAAATATTTCTAGAATAAATAGAAGTTTTTTAATAGCTTTTTAAGAGTACGCAAATTGGCTCCAGATCCAACCCATACTCACCTCTATCTATTTTGTTCATTAAAGAGACTCCAAAAAAAGTTCAAAACCAATCCATTGCACTTTGTTTCCAAGTTTGAAGATGTTTCGCTGATTGAAGATGTTGCCAAAAGTGCATTAGATTGTTTTTTTTTATTCGTTTTCTTTTTTACTTTTTTTGGAATGACTATGATCTGGATGACTGAGAATTTTAACCAGTTTATTAAAGGGACATTTTGAAAGTGTTTAGTGAAAAATATCCTTTTAATTTTACCCTTTATGACTAAAACATTGTTTAATCAGTAGACTGACACCTCAGTAGGTTAGCGCCAATGAATCTGTAAGCCTATTTTCCCTGAATGTACTTTGGGAGTTCCTGCGTGGCTCGGTGGAAGTAACGTGTGCATGTTAAAATGGACGATTGAAGCCTTTTAATCAAGAGGGATTTTGTAGATACGCAGAAGCCATCCAGCTCAACTTGGACAACAATGTCAAACTTATTTAGTGCCTTTAAAAGATTGAGAGCGACTGGTTCCAGGGAAAGACAATGGTCAACACTGGATATGCATTTGAGTCTTGGAGGGAGCTTAGAGACAAGTTTGGAATAAAAAGGAACCCTCAAATGGTTTTCTTTCTACTCAGAAGGTAATACAAGTTAACACTGACCATATTAAATAGTTCTGTCCAGTTCTCAGGAGTGTACCAGGAGTATGTCTATGAGTAAAACCTCTTCTTTTAAGCAGATTATTCTGTTCTAAGTATTAGCGGGTTCTACGAGAACAAACTGCAGAATCCTGCAGTTCTGTGTCTTGGCCACAGGTGTCAGTATGATTAGACAACTGTAATGTTGTTTTAAATCAACACTGTAACTTTTAGCAAACATGGAGTTTCTTGTAAAGAAAAGGCCTAATTTATCCCTCTAGATTAAATCCTACATCAGAGAACCAAAAAATATGTCTGATTAGGTAGGAGTCATATCTGTTTTGTTGGCTAAGAGCAACTTTCAGCTCAGTTAGCTCACATGTCTTGCACTCGAACTGCTGTAAAGCGGCGCTCTGGGTCACAGGACTCATTCAGCGAGAAATTGGCCTCTTTCACGTTACTTCTAGGGGAATTCATATAGGGCAAATGTGAAATATTGACCAGAGAAATCATGTAAAATTTCCCAAACTAAATTGATACTTTGATGAAAGTTAAGCAGTGTTGCGTAAGTTATTGCATATCCACTTTTTTTCTTTGGTGGCAACATGAAAGTCAGTCAGAGTTTCAGAATAAATTTAGGGCCTTTCAAGTTATCATCTGATAAAAATCAGAAATAAGGTACCAGACTTGCTGTTATTAGCAAGGCACACTGTTCAGAGCAGAGGGTGGCGCTCACTCTCATGGACTGAATAGACAAATAAGCAATAAACCTTTGTCAAACACCAGTAGTGGCTCGCATACTAAGCCATCTGACATCACTACTATTAATGATAAGCTGTGAATCTGATACCAACTTCTGTTATTACTAGTGTTGCACCGATACCAGTATCGGGCGGGGCCCTGTTTCAGCACTAAAATGGTGGTATCGGTATAGGCGAGTACCAGCAAATAGGGCATCGATACCATTTTGAGAGCCAAAAGTTTATTCAACTATTGTCACCCATTCCAGGTAGGCAATAAAAACTTCTACTGTATTACCATAGACTTTTTCCTGCTTCACAAAGGTAAGCAGCAGTTTGACAAAGCCATGATGGCAATTATTTTACATCCAAGTAGTATGCAGTTCTTCATATATACACACACATCAATTTCAAACAGATGGTATCGGCCAATACTGCACAGCCAGGTTCGGGTATCTGGGCCAAAAAATGGCGTTGGTGCAACACTAGTTATTACCCTCAGTCAAAGGCTGACAGGAAAAGACTAACAACTAATTATCTTTTTTTACTATCAAACATCCCAATTTTAAAGGCATTTTTAAAGTGTGTTTTTTTTCACCCAGAATAAAGAAAAACAAACTCCAACCCCAAAATAAGCCAATTTTAATGTTCAAGGTTTCCTCCTTGATTTGCTGTCTTTAAATAGGCGGTTTAAGCTAAAGCTTGATTTGCCCTTTCTACCAACACTGACCTAGAATTCGACACCTTTATTTCAACAATTCACAGACCAGTGTTAATAAAGGTCCTCTGTGAACAGACAGTTCTATTAGGAGCAAGATAACCTTTTCAAAAGATCAACTATTTACTGATAGCTTGTCTTCGGTACACAAAGGTTGGAGAGCCTGACATGTTTACCTAGCAAAGTGTTCAATGTGAAGAGGTTAGGCTGAGCTCTCTTAACACTGTTCTTTGGTTATTCAGCTCTGGGGACCAAACCTATTATTTATTCCTTTTATCACGTTTGAGTAATTTGAGTTCTTTTCTAAGACCTTTTTACCTTGGAGTAAAAAGAACACCCCTCCGATTGCCGCAATCCTCCCTTTCAGGACGTAGTTTTCTCCACACACTTTGCTGCACTGCATCCCCACAAGAGACGCCACAAGGCCGAACGTCCCAAACACAATGGAGGCAATCATCAGCGCCCGGGAGGCTTGAATGTACCCTGTATGAAAACATTAAGTCATACATCAGGTATTTGCTCTGAGACCTGCGAAATAATACGTGTTTCAAAAATGCACACACCAATATTAAACTGTAACCAATAGGTGTATTGATATGTTTGACTTGTCTTATAAAATGGTATAAATTCACTGTAATTTATTAAACATTTAATTCAATAACCTTTTGTTGCTTTTCTTGAACATTTTAAATATTAATCCACCAGAACTTGTCAATTTTTCAAAGGTGGTTTCCATTAGTAACAGTAAGGTTGATGGGGAAACATACGTAGGTGTGGTTTCAGCCACACTATTCACTGTTGCACAAGTTTTGTCAATAGTCTTGAGACCAGTGCGTTTGTTTCCTCAGCTTTGTAACAGCAAAACAAGGCTTCATAAAATTCAAAGTTAATTTATACTTTCACCACTAAATAAAAGTCCCTCTTAGATGTGCGATGAACAAAGAAAATAGCAAGTAATCCTTATGCTGTCATAATATCGGTGCACTTTTTTTTTTTTTATTATATCTTCTTACTGTGTAAAACTGTGTGAACAAAAAACACAGCAAACAATGTTTTTATCCTTTTATGACTTCTTAAACTATGTCATATGTTGTTTTGGGAGACAAGTTCAGCCAGTCTGCCGAGTTAGTTTATGACTGAATGAATCTCTTCGAAAGAGTTTTAAACTTCTATGACATTTTCTTTCCTCTTGTTTGCTGCTGTAATTAGTGCGGCACTCTTTCCTTTGTTCCTTCACTTGATCATATCTGATATTTTATGTGTTTACAACATGCTATAGACACTACAATACAAGGCTTCTGGCTCTAAAATGCTCCATGCTCATATCTAGATAAAGTCAAATTGAACAAGACTGTAATCTATTCTTACTTTCTAAGACTTATGGCCATAGTCTCTTGTGACTTTTAATTTTTGTCTTTTCTTACATGATGGTTCGATTAGTCAGCCTTCTTCAATCTCAGGATTTCTGATCAGATTAACTGTGGATTATCAACGCGGTTTTGTGAGGACCACATACCATTAAGAGCGAGTAAAGATGGGAAGTCTCGGCAGTTGTGAACCCCGGTAGAATCAGTTGCACAGGACATCCACAGGTTTTCGTAGATGGTCGAGGTGGTGATAACATTACCGTCCACACTAGACTCCCTCCAGTATCGATTCGGAAGGGCCACACCAACCATGATCCAACCCAAAAAGCCCAAAAAGGCAGCAAAAGCTTCCACCATTGGATTCATTTTGTCCTTTCTTTTTTCTGGCTTGTCTTGAAATGATCCGCTCAGAGGAAGACGAATTAATAAATTAAACCAGCGAAGCTCTCTTGATGCCTAAGGGTCTGTTTGCCACAGGTCCACAAACCAGTTCCCAGCAAACCTTGCGCTAAGGTGCTACAAAACCCTTCAAATGAGTGATTAATTCCATGTACCTCACTTATAATTTTCCCTATTATTCAACTTTCTATTGAAACTTTTGAAAGGCTAACTGTTTACCTAACTTGGGGAACTACAAAGAGCCTAAGCCTTTCAAACCTCTTCACCAAAGTCTATAGACCTAACACTATGTATCACCTATGGCCATTTGCTTTGAACACTATGTCAACAATATTAAATAAATTCTTGATGAGATTCAAGTCAAGCTCCAACTCCTTAAAACTCCCTGATTGGGAAAGCATCATGGGACACCGTGCAGCCCCTAGAGGTGGGGGTTGGTAATTAAATATTGACCCAGGGATTACCAAGTTTGATGGAAAGGAGGGGGGGGGCATTTGCTTGCCTATCATCCAGAAATAAATCATCAAAGCTTGAAAGAAATATTAACTTCCTTTTTCTTTAACGACATTTCCTGTAGAGAACCGTTTCGCTAGACCAGTGCAGTAAAACCTGCCATAACCATTTTACACTCTTCTTGAGGGCTTAAAGTCATTCATCTGGACTATAAACTGTTTGATCTCAGTCCTTTTTTGTGGCTGCTCAATGAATATCTCTAAAAATTAAAGGCTAACCTGGGCTGATATCTTCTACTCAATGTTTTCTAGATCTCACAAAGTCCAAGAAAAATATTTAGAGACAGTGAAAAATTACAGTTTAATTTTGAAAAACCTAAATCATGTAATAATTTCTCAGGATATTCATATTTTTAGGCTTTACTGCGCATTCCGACAAATAACAAATAATATTTACTAATTTATAGGAGCTTTAATCTATATCATTTGTGATAGATTAAGCATTACTGTGCATTTTATTATGCATTTTCTTTTTACTACATGTATCTGATAGGATGGTTAAATATTTTCAAGAAAAAGAAATGCCACAGTAATGTCTCAAAAACTCAAAAATCAAATATGCTACATCATGCTTCAATGGCTTATTACATTCACCTCTCTCTATAATACCAGTAGTAATGGTTCCACCAAACTACAGGACTTGAAACTCTACACACACCTATAAAATCAATTAAAAATCAGACAAATAATTAGTTTATTTTATTTTTTTTTAGATTTGCACCAAAATCTCAAAATAAACTTAAATAACTTTAGAGTTTGAAGAGGTAACTGGTTGAATCTCCCATTACTGTTTAATATTACAGATGCATGCAGTCAAATATTAATGTTTAGTTTGAGTAAAAAGAAAATTAGGTGCATAATTTACAGCGATTTGTTTTATTAAAAAAAAAGGGTTCCATGAGAATAGAAACCAGCCTTTTCTCTGCATTGACGCTTGGATGGAAAATGCTCAGTCAGCTATTTTGATTCTGCTGAATCTTTAGAATAAAAAGAGAGCAAATATTACAGTTGGCAAAATACTGATGTAAGCTAAGATTATTCTATCTTAATAAAGTCATTTAACTGTGTGCATTGCAAAATTCATGTTTGCAAATTCTCCCAGATATACCCTTTAATTTTTGCAGAGATCAATCTTTTAGTCAATTCCTTCACTTACCTGGAAGGGCAAGGAGGGATGGAAAATCCCGACAGTTGTAGACCCCCGTAGAATCACTTGCACAAGACATCCAGAGGTTCTCATAAATAGCAGAGGTTAAAATTACGCTCCCATCTTGCGTCGATTCTTTCCAATAATGATTCTCCAGTGAAACGTAAGTCAGTATCCAGCCCCCAAAGCCCAGGAAAAGTGCTAGAACCTCGATAAACTCCTGCATGTTGCAAAGTAATTTTCTATCAATAATTAAATGTGATGGACCCTACCTCTGCCAGGAGCTCTATATCCTACATCTGTGTCTGATATACATTTTGGGAGTGTGAGAACTGACTCAGGGTTTTGTTTTTTTCTTCCACTTGCAACAGCCAAACCTGAAAATTTGAACATTGATTTGTTGCTGTAGTTACATTTTAAGTGTGCTATTCCCGCCCAAAATTGATGGCTTTTCAAACACAAGCACGTGCCTAGGAGTTAATAAATCAGTATTTAAGCACAAAACTTTATAAGTACCAATTAAAAAAATAAATGAATAACAAAGTTATTTCTTACATTACCTTCTTGATTTATTTGTATTACCTTGTTCTTCTGTATTTTAATTATTTAGAAGTTTTATTATAGAAAGTAATCTACAAATTGAGTGAAAATAAGTGGATTTTTTGGCCATTAAACTTTGCATATAAGCGAGCATCATATTTAAGGATTTGCCATTGTTGTCTGAGTTGATCAAATTATCTTCCCTCCCTGCCCCCTTTCCGGTTTTGAAGAATTATTTGGTAGCCAAAATCCGAAAATAGGTTATTTTGAGATCAAAAGTAAATACTTAGGCTACATATGTGGAAATACTAAACTGAGAACAGAGCAAACAGTGAGAGCCGAGAGAAGTGTGAAACAATTTATCCTTTTTTTTTTTGTCAACTCCGGTTAAGCATTAACAAGTTTTGCTGCAAGACAAGTTTTGTGTCATCATGGGGATTTGCTCCGTGATCAGAGGAAATGTTAATTGGCGCAGAACAGTGGTGAAAATTGGAAGTTCAGTTTAATATAATACAACTCTGTGAATAGTTCCGTCTGAAATGAATGAAAATAGTTGTTTTAATGGTTATTGAGTCAGATAGGCTATGTGGCGGTAGTGTTTGATTTATCTAAAGGTTTTTATCTGTTATTGTGTAAATGAGTTTGGCTGTAATTTAAGGACAGATTCTAATAGATCTGCAGAGTGGGAACTATAAATCTGATAGGAGTTTAATTTTTTTATTGTTGTTTTGCACAATATGCTTAACTAAGTATTTTTTGTTGTTGAATATTAGAGATTTTGCAGATATATTTTTATACATACATTGTTTAGATTTACTTATGTATTTCTAACCCTTTTATAGTATAGAAAATCCCTTTATTGTCCCACAATGGGCAAATTTACAGCAGCAGAAAGATTATTGAAAATAGTCACACAAATGAGGACCTTTGTGTATAATGTATAAGAATAACATAATAGGGAAGAGTTAAAATATAAACAATAAAATACTGTAAAGTGTTTTAACAATATAAAACTGGAGAATTAATAACCAATATGCAGCTATGGACATTTTTACAATAATGGATATTTGAAAATAGCAACAACATCAGAGATGTGCAGAATGACAGCAGCATGTTATTTAACTGACTAAAGTTTCTATCATTACATTTGATTTTATTTGTTCCTGCTCCCGGTGGTTGGAATCTTTATTCCACTCTGGATTCTTGTGAGTGTAGTTTTTGTTCGCTTTAACTTTTTTAAAAATAAATAAATAAACAAACAGTTTTGAAAACCTCGGTATTCATTCTTTTCCTGCTTTGTGTGTCAACTTTCACGGTTGCTAAGCAACAGAGCATACGCCGGTAAAACCCGCTGAAGGGTGGACCTGTTCGAATTTACAGACAAAACTCTTCTGGCCTCCTTATTTTCAAGGACTTCGAAAGGATCTAGTCTAGGTAGACCGCGTCCTTGGAGGATGCAGCCCAGGTTTTCGAACAGAGCCTCTGATTAAGAACAGGGCTGCCCGCACTGACGTGGCTCAGGGATTACGTCACACGGAGCGTCGTGCGCAGTATTTTAAAAAATCAGGACATTTCCTCACTTTCTAAAAAAAAACCCGGGACGCCCGGGACAGGACGTGAAATACGGATATGTCCCGGGAAATACGGACGTTTGGTCACCCTACAATAGATGCATTGAAGTCTTTTTTTTTTCTTAAACTTTAATGCAACAGGTGCCTTTTCAGTTAAAACCCGAATGTGACACGGCTCTTCTGAAGCCCTCTCATAATTCATCCTTCACGAATATCCAACATATGGACAAGTTTGACAATTAAAAGTCCTCAGCTGTCTGCAAATCTAGTTGTTTAAAGGGAGCTGTGATGTTTACCTGGTGGATTGGCTAAGAAAAAAATATCTTTGTTTGGTATAAACTTTACACTCTTTAGTTACTGTCTGTATCTTATCGCATGTGTATTCTCTTCTTTAAGAGGTCGGTACAAAGTGCTAATTTGCACTTTGCTTACAGTATTATTCAGTTTAGCTCCTAATCTATTTCCTGTTAATGTTTCATTATTCTATCCTTCCCTTCTTGTCATATGAATTATTTATGCACAAATGTCCGTATTGACCTCTTCACTATTATAACACGGCAGCCTTTAGGGTTTGTTCCAACCTCCAGACAAGAACACACATTTAAATTTTTTATTGCTGATAGCCAGATTTTTTTCTACTGTGTCGGTGAGATCAGTCAGTGCACAGCTTTATTTTTATATTTGATCAGATAAAAGGTGTCTGTAGGTCTCTTAGGTGTTTATTATGTATTAAAATAGTCACATTCGCTGGAGAGAAGATAAGGTTTGTCAGCAAATACTCAGCTGTTTCCAGCTGCCAGAGGTTCACTGTAATTACAGGCAGCTGATGAGTGTGATGTATACACTGTATATTACATCATCTTGATTGGTAACTGACATATCGACAGTCTGGTTGTGTTTAATCAATCAGGTTTTTTTTTATTTTGCTTTGTCACTGACTTGAGAAAAAATGTCCTTGTGGTGGCTTAAAAAAAGTGCCTCCCCTTTAAACAAACCATCTGTCTTTGACAGGAAATAATACCCTATGGGGAAAAAAAAGTGAGTCAACCAGCCTTTTCTAGGAAACTTCATCAGGAGTCTTTTACTCTGAAGTAGAATTTTCTTTTTATGGACTCAAAAATGCAAAAAAAACAAAACAAAAAAACACAAGTGAATTTTAATACATTTTTGTAATCGAAGATTAAGATTTCATTACATTTATCCACCACACCTTGGACTACAAAAAAATAATTTGAGGGGGATTTATACTCTTTACAGCATGGTTCACCAACCTTTTTAAAGCTGAGGGCTTCTTCATGGGTACTGAGCCATAGGAAGGGCAACCAATTCTGATCTATGAATAGAAGAGATCAGTATTCACCCAAACTTCATGTATCATACACATATTTTATTCTCTCTTTTAATTTCTAATTTTCTTTAAGATATTGTCCTTTAGAATTCTATAAAAATGCTCAAATGCTCTATAAATCGAGTCGAGTCGAGTTGTTCTGTTCTCAAAAGATGCTGAGGGCCCACCAGTGGTTCTTAAGGGAACACATGA